TTTTTTTTTTTTTCATATGAGTTGGCGATATCTTAGAGAACACGTAAATTTAATAGGTGATTTCATGAATTCTGGAATTAAGGATGCAATTAATGCATACAACGCATTTACTGCTTTCCCGATTTTTTTTTTTTTGATCGCTTTTAAAAACCTGCCAAAATTAGTATGTATATGTTGGCGGGAATTTTTCCAAGATATTTTTAGTAAATACTATTCTTTTTTTATAGATATAGATTTGCACATGAATCATTCTTTTGTATAATAGTGATAGTGAATGCATGTAGAATTATGTATTAGTTATCATTGAACTTTCAAAGCTCCTAGGTGATTCCAAGTCATGACAGACTGAATGAAGCTGATGAATGTATTAGCTACCATTTTTGCTGCCTTTGGTTATCATATGGGGACGTGGCATGACATTGTGAAAAAGTTTGTTAAAACTGTTTATTGCGATCGTTATAGTAATAGTTGTACATGTTTCACTAGGTATACGATTAAGTAAGATGCAGTAAGATTTCTGTTATCTAATTCATGACATGCAATAGCAAATGCGTGCATCTCTCTCTGATGGTTGGTTCCTTACATACTCGTTGATTATGTTGTGCACAGGCTATTGGTCCGGAGCTCACCTTCTACAATAAATCAAGAAATGCAGGACAACATATTATGTCTAACAAACTGTTGCATGCCCAAATGGACACATTCTGCAGGTTAACTTCTCAATACCTTTTTTTTTTGACTTTGCATTAAATTCCCAGCCATAACTTGCATGTCTCATGCCCATCCTCTGAACGATACAGTGGGAAAATTACCAGGAAGTCCTTTCAATCGTTTCCTGTCAAGGACTTGGCTAGTTATAAGGTTCAATTTATTCAAAAAGTTCAAAGAAAATTCCACCATGCTACCACACTGATTACTTTCTCCTGATTTTTCACTAAGCAGAAACTTGAGATTGCTTGAAATAAAGGTATGGGGGCTGAAGAGGTCTGACTCTGAAAAATATGGTTTGATGTGGCGTAATTATTCTCCCACAACCATTTTGATTTCCAAAAACCAAGCAATGAAGCATATGCCCACCCCCACAAATTGGGGGTGCATGAGTCCCAAAGGCCGGGTAAATAATTTTTTCCAACCTGTACTATACGTGCTTTT